TCCCCTTGCACCTGTTCCAAATGTTTAAACGGCACTTTTTTGATAATGACAATTACCATAATACCGTAACATATGCTAATATGGGACAGCGGACATTGGTGTAGAGCTAGTAGACCATGTAGGGTCGTAAACCCACCTTTGGACTATGACCTATCTGCAGGAGTTCCGGACTCGGAAGGGCTTTGAGAGAAGCCTTGCTCTCTCATCAATATTAAGTCTTGGTCTCCTGACTTTAGTTCAACGAAGACCCTGTAGAGAATATTAAGAGGAAACAGCTAAACCGGCCAGTGGTAAAATACTCTTATGAAACGTTATAAATGCAACGTCAACTCTATTCTGCGCTCTGAAAAAGAAGAGAATTAGTTTGAAAATTTSAAATTGTTTATTATTAACTAAACTAGCCGAAATGTTGGATTGTAGAAACTGTATCCCGCGCCATTTTTAGAAAATTTTAACCGTATTACGTCCAACTCGCCTTCCTGACTAAGAAGAAAACTTTTACAAAAGTAAAGGGTAACATTTCGTAATATTTAGACCAAGCTTATGAATTGGTAAGCACATCACTATTGTGGTCCACTCCACATTGGGCACTGTCATCCCCAAAAAGATTGATCAGTTTCTTTGAACTATTGCCTTTAGTCCTTATCTAGCCCAATCTACAAAGATCTTATCTACAGAGATCTTAAATTTCATCAACACCAAATTGTTATAGCTCAATAGACGATGAGATCGGGGATGTATAGAATTTTTGTTTACTGGTCTTGAATAGCAAAAACAACGGAATGGTGAGTTTCACGAGGGCATTCTTGTAAATTCTTAGGATATCTTAAATTAAAATCCACCTGTTGAGTTCTCTAGATTTTTAATGTAGTGTGGACTAATAGGATTGAAGAAGAAGAACGTTACCAGGTTGGGAATCGCTTAAGTTCACCTTTTTTAGTTTAAAGCCACTTACGAATTATTGTATAAATCTCACAGAAAATTCTTAGAAATCATGATATTCGACTAAAAGAGCTGAATAGGCCGATTCAAATCAATAAAAATGAACAACTAATCCCACTGAATAACTGAAATTTATTCCAAGACTACGAGTCATGTAATGGTGAGCGACAATCTAAAAAAGGAAAAAATACGTCAGTAAAATGTTGTTATTTTTCCTCAAACCACAAATATCCTTCCTCCTTGTAGTTACTTGTAGATGTTTGTATACATACATACAYATGTATATTTGTTGGCACAATAAAATCACCGTTATGCCATATTTAAGTTTTGTGAATTTACCGAGTACAGTTGCACTTCCAACATCTCAAACCATATGTACATATGTACTCAAACAGTACGTGTATTTATTCGTTTGGAAAGTTCGGGGGCACAATCGGAATGGCAGGTATTTTGGTGAACAGCTGTAGACGCCAAAACCAAAGAAGATATCACAGTTTGTCATATCGTTGTAAGAGCAGCGTTGAGAGAGCGAGCATAAAGAGCGCTGGCTACGATTAGTATTCGTTTTCAAATGTCGACTTCGGCGGTTGTGGTAGTAGTGGTGGGAGCAAACTAACCGGAAATTATACGAATCAGGTGGCGCAGAGAGCGAGCCGACGCTGACGTGAGTGAACGGCGATTACAATTTGATGCGGGTCTGATTTGGAATCCACCAAGTTGTTGTTTACATTTTTATGATTTCGTATTTTCGTGTTTACGTCGGCCTAGCTACTTCGCTGCTGCAATCTGGCCAGATGTTTGGCCTATGTTTCATTTACACTCACTATTTTCTGCCGAAATGCAACGCAATGTCTTTTCGGTTTCACGATTGTGAGCGCTCARCTGCTATTTTTGTTTCAGCTCTGCCGTTCGTGTTTGCTTGTTCCGTTTTCTTTTGCTTACGTTGCCAACGTCATCGACAGCGTCCGTACCCGTGGACGCAACGTTTTCACYGCCGCYGTCGCTCTCGTCAACGCTTTCCAACATATCTTTGTTGCTAGATATAAAATGAAGTGCAGCGACTGCGGCACGTTGCGGGGCATGGAGCGGCCGCTGAACGACGTAACAACGCAGCGCCGAAAACCAGCATACACATTCGACGAATTCAGTCGTTGATAGTCAACTCTCGTGTACGGACGATAATTGTTGCTTCACAGCGCCAACCAAAACAAACCAATCTAAATCAAGCTGACCAAGCGTACGCGTATTGTGTGAGCGCCGCACCGCAGAACGACTAATTACGTGCCCAATTAAATAAAAATACACAAATAAAAACAAATTTGGAAACACGTAAAGTGTAGTGAACGTTCTTAAAYTAGCGCTGACTAATCAGCTGACAACTGTGCTGWGCCGCAAGCAAATCCACGCAGCGCTAAGGGCCAAGCAAGCCATTCCGTTGCATAGGACGAGTAACTGTGCATTACTGTGTCAGCTTGATAAGCGAAAATGTAAATACTGTTGCGTATTGCCGGTCATGTGAAGTACGTCATACGACGTCGATTTAGTGCAAAAAGAAAGAACAGTAAGAACAAATAAGAACTTCATTTMAATATCTATAAACTCAGCGCGGAATTCGATATTTACGCCAATTGTGTGCACTATACTCGTGGGCTTTTGTGTGTGAATGTGTGGGTGTGAGCAGTGCAAAGTACCGGCATTCGTGTTTGCGTAGCAATAAACAGTGTGTGTTTGTGTGCATTTGCGCTCGTGGGCAGGTGAGCACTTATAGAAAAACAATAACAATATTGCACGAGCTTCTTGAAATAAAATTAAAGTTAAAAAAAATTGTGAACATTTCGAACAGCCTTTGGAAGCAAGTAAGTGGCATTACAACAGCAAAAGAGCAAACAATTGCACTTTTGTAGAAATTGCTGCCACATTTACACAGTTGCCGAGCCGGCCGAAGCGAAGGCGAATGTCATAACAGCAAAAAACCCAATAAAGCTAGCAAAAAAAAAAAACACTGCCGTCAGCAAATAAGGCCATAGCAATAACAAAAGCGTAATAATTGTGCAAATAGTACTTAGTGAACTTGAAAAGTTCTTTTGCCAACGCAAAGAAAGTGAAAAAGTGCAAAATTTTACAAACTCACTTGCGTTACGTKCATTTCCCTGACGGTTAACAGCATTCTCCGCCGGAAATTKTGCCGTTTCGGAGTTTTTCAACAAATTTGGTTTTCCTTGTGTCGTGTTTAGTGCGAATTTGGTTTGCAGCGTGTGCGTTTTCGTGCACGAAGTAGTTTTCGAGCACAAAGAATCTGTTAAACACAGACAGATAAGAAGAAAATCGGTGGATTATGCTTAGGAATAAGCCGAAACAGCACAGAACGCTTACGCCGAAACGAGTGGAGCATGTAGTTGCAGCRAGTGAAGCCAATGCGGCCGCCCTTCTATGCGAATCCATACAAACGTCGTCGCCGCTGTCGTCCATACGAGAGCCAAATATTAAAGAAAAACTCATACAAAAGCATAACAAAAATATTGATACGAACTTTGATGCACAACAGCAACAACAAAAACTAAAACAACACGTGAAGCAAAGTCCGAAAAGCGTACAGAATTTTAATGGTGTTATTAAAAGATCACTACTGTCGAAATTGACGCCCCTGGTCGGTGTGACAACCAGTTTCTTTGGCGGGCAAAGTGTCCTACCCGCATCTAGTTGTGTGTCTCCGTTAGAGGAACACTTCATTGGTGTGACAACTTTGATTTCGGCAATACGCTAAAGACTTGTGCGCTGAAAAAAAAACGAGAGTTAGGCGACCCCGCGTGTGGGAGAGAGAAAAAGTCTCAAATATTTATGCAATAAAAATTGAAAATAAAATACTTTTAGACTATATAGTGCAGACGAGTGCAATRATTAAAAGTTCTCAACCAAAATCAAAGTTTATGCAAACGAGGTGATTAGCAACTCATTGAAATCTTCGTGATAATCGATAAATGGTAAATGCAGCAGGTTTAGTGCAAGCTTTCGCACGACGACCAAGTGCGAGTAGAAAAGAGCAAAATCTATGTGGCGTTCAAGAAGTGAAGGGAAAAAAGTTTAAAATAAAAAAAAATATATTGAAAGTGAGATAATTTGTCTATGGTGAGAAGGTTAGGTTATAAGGAAGTGAAATAAGCACGGAAACCTTGAATAACAGTTAGCGAAACTGCGCAAATACAGAAGCCGCAAAATAATAAGGCCCCTGTACACATTACGCTAAAGCAAATAGTGTGAAACCCAGTAACAACTGTTTAAAGAAAAGCATTAAATAATAATTCATAACATCTGTACTTATCAACACAAGCGTCTGTATATACATATGTATATGCATTGTGTGACACATGAATAATAGCAGTGCTAATAAATAATATCAAATAAAAATGCGCCTCTGCAATCTTTGTGCGAATTTTATAGCTCATTAGCAAAACCAAAACCAAAACAAAMCCGCTTATCTACGCCTTTGTGACCGCGTTCTTTCTTGTTCTTTAAATATTTTGGTTTCGCTCCTAACCGCAATTTTAGAATTTTGGTTCTCCTTAACTAATTTGTGTGTGCTCGAGCATAAATTAAAGTATTGTCACGCAATCAACGTGTGAAAGTCCTAGTAAATTGCTATTAAATTATAAACAAATATTTTTGGCAATTTTAAATATTTTTTCATTGCTACGAATTAAAAAAAAATGCGATTTCCTTAAAATTAATATTGGAAAAGTGGCAAAAGCGAATAGTAAAGCTCACAAGTGCCAAAAGTGTTGATAAAATAGAATGAAGCGTATGATAAATATGCAATAAATTGTCGCGCTGTCAAGCGAGAGTGTGAACAGGTGTTTATTGTTAAGGAAATAGCGAAAATAAAAGCAATTAAAACGTTGAAAATTCTCAAATTGTGTTCAAAATAAAAAGTATCGCCCTTCATACATTTTCTCGACAAAAAGTTATAGAACTTTCGTCCAACGCCAAAAAGTGTTAATTGGTCATTTTAAAGGCTTACGTTGCACGCGTGTTATATCAAAATAAAAAAAAAAAAAAAAAAAAAGCTTTGTTCCTTCGTACTTCTTTTCACACACTTTTTGATTTTAATTTTTTCGCTTTGTTCGGTTTCCAAAATTTCGTAGAAGACAATGTCCACTGGTCGCCGTTTAGCCAAACGTTCAATAATCGGTACAAAAGTTTGTGCGCCAGGTCCGGATGGTCTCTGGTATTCAGGCGTTATACAAGACGTCAAGACGCCACCTACTGCTACGGTCACTTCGTCGTCGGTATTGGCAACGAGTGATTCTGCCGCAGCCAACAATAACGGTACAAATCTTACCGCCGACACTAAATATATAGTACGTTTCGATTTTAAGACACAAACCATGGAGCACAACTTGGTCACATCGCCCTCATCGTCGTCCAAGTCGTCCGTTATAATGGAGGCACGTCGCACTGTAAGCGCACATTACCTTAGTCCCGCGCAAGCTTTGCGCCGCAACGCCATGATTAAGGAGTTTCGCGAGTCGGACTTGATCGGTCCGGGTTTTCGTTCCATATTGGGTATACAATTGCAGCCGGGCCAACGAGTCTTTCTCACCCACAACGGACGTGAGACCTCCGGCGATGTCATTGCTCATGACGTGGAAAAGGACGATGTTGTCGTAAAGATCACCACAATCGGAACTGAGGTGAGTAGTGTAATTAGTGGTGTAATATTTTAACTAAGTTCTGCTGTTTCCCAAAGGTGGAACGTATTTTATATACTATACAGTAATTGAAAACCCTAAAAAAGCAACTCTGTTTTGSTCTTCCTAAATAMCTACTYTTRTGTTGGCTACAAGCATAATTTGTTTCACTGAATGCCATTTGCTTGTTTATCTTTTCCATTTCTCTATTTTCTTTTYCAATTTCTTCTCAACCCCCAATTGTGTTTGYTGCGCACCCTTGGGGAGGGAATGCGYGCTGCTTCGAGGTTGATACTGTCGTGTAAGGGCTGTGTTGCCTCTCAAYTCGTGGGGTTTTCTTTTACATTGGCCCTCTTTTCATCGTTTTTACCATTTCGTGTTTSTTGTTCGTATGTTTGTTTGGAAGAGCGCTTTGCACAAGTCCTCCGCTCTGCCACTTGGCTTTGGGCTCAAGTACGCGCATCTGCAACGGTAGTTGTATCTGTGTCTGCATTCGTGGCAGTGGCAAGTTCGAGGTGTATACTCGTATTGGGTAAGTATGTCAAGGTTAAGCGCATTCGGTAGGGTGGCGCRTGCGAATTAGAGCATGAGAGGGAGCCAAGTACATTCTACATACCTCAATGATTGTACTCGTAGCCATGGCGAGGCGACTTCGAAATGAAACTGGAAAAAAGATTCGCGAACCATGTCAAGTTTGTAYATAACTATATGCTTATGTACATATATAGGTGCACCCTCCCCACTTCAATGTTGGTTGAAAGTTCTGGTATATGAATGCTTTTTATGCTTTTACTTATATTTATTTACTGCTGCCGTTATGTTGGAGTGACTTAGCCTTATTGGTGTTCAAGGACATATACATTATTTACCAGCTAGAGGGATTTCGGTTTCTCATATGTTGCTATGCATATGACTATGGTTCCATATCGTAGTTTTCTAGGTGAAAATTATGTCCTATGGAACTATAGAAGTTTAGCACCACTTAGAAATCTTTCTTATTTTAGACATTTTAATACCGTAATTTAGTCAATTACTAGTAATTGARCAGTCGCAGGTTAAAAATCTTAAAGAATTTCCGCTATAGCTTAGGTAGGAAGAGGRCGGGGTAGAAACAACTCAACTTTATATTCTTGACGGTTCCGTCCTTTCAAGGTTACGACCTCGGAACTCACACCCTTAGACGTCAAATTGAGCAAGCGGAAAATAAAACACCTTGGCAGGTTTGTGATGAGTCAAGCCACTTTGTTGGTATATGAGATATAATTATTCSAGTTTTTCTGGATACAAAGGGTCCGGTATGGCTCCTGTCTTAATGAATCTAACCTAATTTACGAGATTAATTTATAAAGATTTTGAATACTAAGCTTCAAGGACTTTGATGGCGGTTTGGGCATATGCGTACATATGTATTGTTCTTTTGTGTACATATGTATGTATATAACTATTTGTCTTTTTACCTGGTTCTGTTGATAGCTAGTGGGATTAGTTTTAGGTATAATTTTTGAGATCATATCCCCTTGGGGCATAGGTTACACACGCGGCTTTTCTTGTCTACTTTTCTTCAAAAAATTATATTTCTGATTTTGAACGGATTACTGCTGGTTTGTTGCTTTCTTGTGAATATATATACATACATATATATATATATATATATATATATACATACATGTGTGTGTGTATAAACGGTTGGAACGGCATTTTTAGTTTTCCGCAACTTGTTTTCTCTTTTGCTTTAAACGCTGTACGGTATACTGTTAGTTTGTATTTCTATTTTCGTTCCTATTCGCTTTCATTGTTATTTATTCAAAAGCTATACAACAATACCACTACATATCTACCACTTTATGTGTGGCTGCTCATGTGAATGGGCGCTGCTTAACCCATACACATGTGTGGCATGTGGGTGTGTGTGTGTACGCATGTAAATGGGGTTGCCACGAAACAGTATCGTTATTTTCSTTGCCTACACGTGAGCTTCACATGTTTTTTGTTGGTGCTTTGAGTCTTTTCTCTCTTTTATATTCAGCTCACCTCCAAAATTTAGGTGTAGACCAACAAAACAAAAACATGAGAAATATAAATAAAAACAAGAAACTTTTAGACGCACGTTTCTCAACGAATAAATTCGCTTCAACAAAAGTGGAGGTCGCTTTTAAGCAGTCACACCAACGAAATGGTGAAAAGCAAAGCAAAATTAAGCCTGCTTGTGGSCTAAAGCGGCGATGACGGGCAGGTGATTTTAAGTATTACGGAAAATTACTACGTAGAGCGTTAAACGCTACCTTTTTACAGTTATTTATGAGGTATTATAGTTGTAATTTGGGGAGCGTGAAAATGCTCCAACTTAAAAGTAAAAGTTTCATACTGCATTTATCTACTTTTAGGCGTTAAACCCTGTTGCATACTTCTCATGAATTATTCCGGGTTCCTTCTGTTACATTTTTGGGTATATATAATCTCTYCAGCAATAGCTTTCTGGCTTGTCTTTTGAGTTCGTGGATTTCGATTTATTTTTAATTTGCAAGCAGTTGTAATTAAATGCTTTTTAGCTATTTTTGATTTCTTTTCTCATTTGATCATTTGATTTTGCTTGTAATTCGCATTGTTCTCTCTCAYTGAACTCGTTTTTTAGTGCTGTCATGGCCAACTAAAAATAATAGAAGAGAAACATAAGTATGTATGTGTGYTTTTATTTTTATTTCACTTGATGATTGCCACGAAGTGTAGTCGCTCATGCAAATGCCTTGTAACGCAAATACACTTACTTAAATATTATGTGTGTACATATATGTATACTTAGTGGTTTCTGAGTTACATAAATCGAGTGGAAATATTGGTTAACGTTTCGGTTTTCAATACTTTTTGTATACATGTGTCCAAAATGCTCAAGGCGACGAGGTGAATTGATTTCGAGATGTTATTCATCCGCGATTTCGTCACAGACTCAAAATGTCCAATATAAAGATTCGACCTTCTTTCATATTTCGAGGTACCGCAATAAAATTACGTTGTTATTGTACATTTTCCGTAATAGGCCCATTACTTTCTCCCATCACTAATACAAGTATTAAGCATAAATCATTTTAATTATGTTAATCTGGGTAAGTTTAAAGTGAATATTTGGACATGAAGCGTGTAACTGAATAGGAAATGTGYTCCTTCGAATGATGAATTCACATTTCTTTTTTTTAATCAAAAATATTAGGCATGTTCTGGAAAGCGCGTACGAAATAGCAATTCGTACGATTTTCTTCGAGGTGTTCTGTAATTCGTTCAATTTCATTTTTTTAGATGATTTCTTTGTGACAGTTTGACAAATCAAAAACAAAAAAAAAAAAAAAGAATTTGTCTGTTAAATTTTTTTATAGAATTTGAAATTAAACAGTTTTTATTAAAAATTTACTTTTTTATGGACGCTTATGCGTTGAACGTGAACGATRTTATCAAGATAGAATCGAAATACGGCATTTGAGAGACCATTCTAATCCAATGTCTGCACCGGATTCCACGTGAGTTTTGCTACAAGGTGTCTACTTGTAGAATTGAGATGGTTTATTTCTGCATCAGGTTTGTTTCCAGCTATCGGTTAATTAAGCGTGCATATACTCAACGAAATTATACCGTTAGTTACGTAATTTAATGAAATTGGCGGCAAGTCTTAGGTTTTCGGTTGAATATCAAGGTCCAGTTGAAAAGGTTACCGCTATTTCTCTGGGTAGAAGCACAATATCTAAAATTTTATCCGAAATGATTAATGTTTTAAAAAATATTTTATATGCGAAATGGATTAAGCTTCACATTTCAGAAACCAGAAAAACTACATAASTACATTTTGTGCAAAAGGTTGGCATACGTGGAGAATAGAATGCATTGATGTGGTACTCATGTAGCTACGGTAAAACGATTTGTAAACAAACATTTTTTTTTTTGAATAGAGAAGGTGTTTTCAGCATATATGTGATGATTATATGTATATATGAAGTCTTATTTTCGATTTACAGATTTGTGATTCTGATATGATAGTACTCGTCGCAACCCATGATGCTTTTCTATTCAGTATGGGTAGGGCAAAACAATATTATTTCTCACAATATGGAGGTGGTAAAGGCCACTGGGAGATTCTAGTCTCGGTATAGAAGCATTCGTACTTAAAACGCAAAAATTTAAATAAAACACATAGAAAGTTTATGTAATTGATATATGCCTTCTCTTTTCTTCTAAACTCTGTGCTTTTARATGATTTTGGTCTGCCAACAATTAATTGTGTCGTTCGTCGGCCCGACAAAGCCGAAAAGCCGTCGAATATCGTCCCTATCCGGAAGAATCCTTCACCTGTTGCTCTTGCTCCAAATTTTTATGCGCAGCCGTTTTACGAATGGATGCCTTCCAGTCAGGGCATATCTTAACAATTAAAGAAAAAATACAGTTCATATCAAATAGCAAAATCTGAGATGGCCCTTCAGCATTCAGCGATATGGCTAGCTCCTTCCACTTTTCCTCAACACCCACTCTATCGCCTTTAGTTCTTTTGTTGAATGTTTGTTTTCTCCCTTAAGTTCAAAGAAAAACGTTATTTTGTTTATTTTCTTTAATTTTATTAAATACTTACATTTTAACGATCAGTTGGCGTTCGTTCTATAGGTGTAGTTTAGTTTAGTTTTTGGAAGTATGGCAATCTGTCCTATTTTGTAGTATTAACTTTAGTTGTTAAGTAGAATATTTAGATAAGAATCGGTCAAATGCAAAAGAAAAAAAGAAAAACTCTTCACGAAAACGCTGTTTCCATACAAGAACTTGATTTGTCAGTGGTCCGATCTGGGCAATTTCTTTGGAGATTGYACCGYTATTTTAAGCAATATCCARAGCTAATTTTTGTGAACATACCTCGTGAAAAAAAGTTTAATTTCGATCGTCTAGTATCTAGGCACCTATAACATGTAGTGGTCCGATATGAACGGTTCCAACAATGGAGCAGCCATTTTCCTTGGACAGGAAAGGCGTGA